CGAGCGGATCTCATCATTTATTTCGAATCTGTCTTTTAAGCATATGAAAAACGATTGCACTGTACATCCAATCGGCCAATTTAAGGTGAATCTATACACCGGAAGTAGACAAACGTCAAGACATCTTAATTTCGCTAAGTTACAGGTTTCTTTTCAGAATTTTGACCAAAATTGGCAAAAGAAGTGAGCCGTCAATTATTGCAGAGTCACATTTCGAAATCAGCAGTTTCTTCCAAAAGAATCTGTTTTTTAAACCCTCAAAACGGTGAAAGATTTGCAAACTCAAAGTACTACATTCGATGAATCGAGCAATAGAACGGTTCATTTTCGCGTTCGCAAATTTTCAGCTTTAATTCAGGTTTTTAAACGATACATATTTTTTTTTTTAACGAGCAACCGAAATGTGTCTCCAGGCGTAGAGGGTCCGTTTCTCTACCCAAAATGTAAAGTGAAATCAAAATGTTAGCTTATCTTAGTTTGTTCGATCCCTCGATGTTTGTTCACTCTGGCCGTAAGTCGATTCAACCTAAAGATGCATAGTCTAGATGCGGTGAAACTTTTGAAAGCCCTCTTTTCAATTTTCCACTGGAGTTTGATGAGGTTGGTATTTGTGCCGGGTGAATCTGACATCTTCGCCGCGCGTCGAACGTTGGTCAAATCCTCCGGTGACAGCTTCACCGATAACCCCCAACCAGTGGCGTGGCGTGCTTTGCGATATGTCGATTGATCGGTCATTCAAACCCATGGAAAAGGATCGATAAAGAGGTTGTCAGCAACGAACACCTTAATAATCGATTCTTTACCACAGCTTCTAATGAGGAAATATCGATAATCGACCGGCCTTCAACCTCTTCTCCGGAAGCCTTGTTGATTATGCAGTGTAAACTGTCCGACTCCTATCTATCAATTCCTCATCGATCATCCGAGCATCGCATCCCCCTTCCAAGCACTTTGTCCCGTCACCGTCGTCGCCCTAATTATCCTCCTCCCAGTTTGCTCCAATTTTAATAGGAGCGGACCGACCCGTTTCCCATGCGAACGGGAAAAATTACGTTTCATTCGCTGCTGTGCCAACTGAAAAATGGTCGTTGATTTACTTCTTTCGATCCTCAAAAAAGATTCATCCTAGTCGTTTATTTGATAGCTCCTTCGTTTATGATATAACAGGGAGTCTAGCGTCAGGATTTCCCCGATTCTATCAGGATTTGAGGTCAATCAGGATTTAATCCCGATTTTATCAGGGTTTGAGGAAAAATCGGTCGTAAAATCGGGATTTGAGGAAAAATCAGGATTTCATCAGGACTCCCCCTAGTGGAAGAAAAAAAGAAAAAGAAAAGAAAAAAAAGAAGAAAGGAAAAAAAAAAGGAAAAAAAACTAGACACCCTGTATAATCCTCCCATATTTTGCAGAGGAGGATGCTTTGGAAACATTGATCTTGAATTCAGTGGTGAGGCCTGAATGAATGATTGACTATTATGATTCGTGCTGAAAAATTGATTACTAAGTATGGTCTTCGTTGCAAACACGCTGTTTCTCGATCCTTTTCCATGTGTTGAAACGACGGATCAATCGATGTATCGCAAAGCACGCCACGCCACTGGTTGAAATCCTCATCTGCTCTCGCGGGTTCATATCCATGCCAGATCCTCGTGTTATCCTCGTTTCAGAGCGTTTCTTAGAAAATGTGTGCGCAGCGCAATAGGAGGTAACCCTCATTTTATCATCTTAAGGCCGAGATTGAAAATTTCGAGTTGCAGATTTGGAGCTGAAGGCCGTGAAAGGGAAAAAGGAGGAGGGGGCCGGGGTCCGCATGGATGAAAATAAAGGGTGGCGCGTGGGAGCTTCTGAGAATCTCATGAGCCCCCTCTGTAGACTGTCACTCAACATGATGGAGGCAAACCTTCCCGGAATCCTTCGTTCTGCGGCTTCGCAATTTCCTAGATTCTCGAGCAAAGTCCCCCCCCCCCCCCCCC